ATAATCAATATCTGTACACTCTAACCATTCATAATCAATATCTGTACACTCTAACCATTCATAATCAATATCTGTACACTCTAACCATTCATAATCAATATCTGTACACTCTAACCATTCATAATTAATATCTTTACACTCTAACCATTCATAATCAATATCTTTACACTCTAACCATTCATAATTAATATCTTTACACTCTAACCATTCATAATCAATATCTTTACACTCTAACCATTCATAATTAATATCTGTACACTCTAACCATTCATAATCAATATCTAATAATCAATATCTTTACACTCAAACCATTCCTAAATGCTGCTAAGGTTTTTACAGTCCATTCTTCCTCCCATTAAGAGATGCTGCTAAGGTTTTTACAGCCCATTCTTTCTCCCATTAAGAGATGCTGCTAAGCTTTTTACAGCCCATTCTTTCTCCCATTAAGAGATGCTGCTAAGCTTTTTACAGCCCATTCTTTCTCCCATTAAGAGATGCTGCTAAGCTTTTTACAGCCCATTCTTACTCCCATTAAGAGATGCTGCTAAGCTTTTTACAGCCCATTCTTTCTCCCTTTTTTTTGCAATGGATAAACGATTGATCTGCACCAGTATTTGGGAATTTTACTTTGTCTCAAAGCAGTGTTGAAAGCACAGTCTTAACCATTTTATTCATTTGTTGCTGAAGCTTTAAAAATTTCTGCAGGGAAAGCCTCATCTTCAGGTGCATCACCATTTTTCATAGTTTTTAATGCTTTTTTCAGTTTCTTCTGTACTGATTTCACTTTCTTCACTTTTCATGTCTTCAAGTGGTTCCTCTCCATGGTCTTCTACCTCCACATCAACATTTTCAACATTCAATAGATCTTCAAAATAATCCTTCTGTCCTATATTAATGGGTTCAGTAAGTTGCTCTATGTCCTCTGCATCCTTAATTGCATACATGGATGGAGATGTTCCTTTGGCATAGTTTTTTATCCGTGCTATATATTAGAGTTTTCCTTCATAATAGATCATCTTGCAGATCATATGTAATTTTATTCCAGGATTCTTTCTTCGCCCAGTTTTTCATGTATTTGCATCTTTTTTTTTTGCCTTAACATAAATATTTTGGCATTTTATCTTCATCCAATTTTTAAAAGCTGTCTTTTAATTCTGCACTATTTCTTTTACTTGTTCATTCCTCCTGGGTATTTTCTTTCTTTTAGTATTATATATCACTTATTTTCACACCTTCTGCTTCTTTTACTTATGTTTTTTTTTAGGTTTTTCCACTCCTCTTCTATACTAACTTGGTCATTTTCAATTAGTTGTACATGTGCTACATTTCTTACCTTGCTTTTAACAGTTGCACATATTCTTCTCTTTTAAGATTTTTAAACACAAGCTTTTTTTATTTACACTTTGCTTTAATCTTTGGTTTGCTCATTTTTAATTTTCCTAATAAGAAACAGATAGAATAGCTTTGACTCATCTAAAAAATAATTTTACTGTTGGTTAACATCAGGCCTATCATTGACTTGCTTACATATTCCTACTGTTGCTCACTTTTCCTATACTAGGTCCATTTGTGATTAGGATGATGATTGTAAAACGTTTTAATTTTTGCCTGATTACAAGACTATTAAATATGCAAAAATCAATTAGTTTCCCCATCAAAAGTTTTATCTCCAAAACTGAAAGATCCAGTGACACTCAGTCCCAATTAAACTACCAGGAATTATTATCTTTACCTTATATGGTGCTTCCTCAAATACTACCTGTAGTGTATTGTGAAACTTCTTTTTCATTGGCTGGTCTTTCTTGTTCATATATATCCTTAATCAACATTTACACCAATTATTCTTTCATTTTTGTAGTAAATAGAAGTAACTTTCCCAGCTATTTCTGGTGTCACACCACTCTTGAACATGATTTCATAATTATCATGAAGTGTCTTTCTTCCCTCTTCTTTGAATCTTGTCATTAATATCCAAGTTTCTCTCTCTCTCTCTCTTCCTTATTACTTCTCAAGGTGAATAAATTTACTGTAGTGATCCATGTGGTTCTATTTTTAGAATTTTCCTTAGGAAAAAGATCCATGGGCATTCTAGATTATCAACTGGTAGATCGGCTGATTTTGAGGTGCAGTTAATGTTTTTGAGCAAAGATGAATCCATTTTGGCTTTCTAGGTCTGCTAATTAGTGCCATCACAATATCTATAATTTCCTTTCAGTTCCAGTTTTTTCACCCTATATTCTAAACAGATATTGATTTGAGCTCAGCTGCAGCATATCTTAAAGGTTACACAGTCCCTTGTCCTAGTGTAGATCTAGTGGCCCTAGAGCTGCCTCAGTATTAATTTTATCATATGACTAAATTATCAAAAATCAACAGTAATTAATACAGCTTAATTGTTCTTCTTTGAAAATGTTTTTTGGTATCTTGAAATAATTTAAAAGATTACCAATCCCATACTCACATGTAGCAATATAGTAAAAACTATTTGTAGGTACTGACACTAAATTTTATAAAAACACAATTTTAAAAGTTGAATGCAAAATATAAGTAGTGAAATAGTTATTATGTGCATATATTTTATTAAGGTATAGCATCATTTTGAATTTCAAGTGACATTCATACAAAAGCTAACTTTAATCTAATAAGTATGTATTTTGGTGTTATATATTTGAACTTATTTTCTATTTTAGTAACGTTTGGGGAACAGAAGGATGTGCATTGGTGTTTAAAAATAAAAGTACTGTAATATGTCGATGTAATCATACAACCAGCTATGCTGTACTGATGCAGGTTGTTTCTTACAAAGTAAGTGGTTGATAATGAATAAGAGTAATTGATGAGAAAAAGTTTGTTAATCTAAGGAAAGTATTTTAAACTCAGTATTGAAGCAGTTATTGTCAGAATTTGCTTTACATGTAATTACACAATAGTTTTTTACATTTGGTCACCAAAGTCAAATAAGTAATCTTCCAATAAATGGGTGCAATTTAACAACTTGACCTTAAGTTTTAAAAGGTATCAAAATTACCAAAAATTTAACAATAAGATCTAAGGAAGTCTATGTTTGAAATGTTTTTATGCCGGTGAACAAATCTAATCCTAAAATAAGAATATTAAACAAAAAAATTAATATTTCTGAGAGACATATTCTACTTGTACACAAATTATTTTCAACAATGTTGTATTTTACCATGTCATTTATTTTGACTATTTTGCCTCACCTCTGATTTGAGCCGGAAACTTCGTGCTAGACAAATGTTGTACCAACTTAGCTAAAGGGCTAACCCCATAGCACATTCTAGCAATACAAGTTTTAATTACTCAAACTACTGCAATTAACCAATATAAATCTATCAGAATTTAAAATATATTTTTTAAGTTAAAACTACAAGTAAAATGCTGTGAAAACATAAATAAGCTATCAAATTGCTTTAAATAAAAGTAGACATGTTTGAATATTGTAAAAAATTATATAAAGACTTATTTACCTTAAAATATTTTTAGTGTATTTAAATTACTCATTAATAATTTTTATTCATTTTCTAAAACCTTATTTGTCACATAGCTCATTTCCATGCAATTGGAAGCCCAGTTGTTTTAACTAATTAGCCTAAATGAAGCTTTTAATGCAGATAATTATCAAACTAGTACCAATGTAGAACTAGACCTTGTGCCTTCATTTGCTGGTTTTATGTGGGACTGGCATGCTCTTTTAAGGAAGCTAGTAGTGAAGATATACAATTTGTATAAAAAGCTTGTAGGTTAAAGGAGAAATTGAAGGCTATAAGGTAGATGCAATGAATAGAAGGGTAAATTGTGGGAAATGGCGGCAGGATTTGAAGAGGAACTTAAACTTTAAAATGTAAAGGATACAGTGACTAATAATGACTTTCAGGAAGTTAGAAGCAGGACCAATAGGATTAGTAGTTATGGATTTAACTGTAATGAGCACGTTTTATTAAGTAACATATTATAGCCTTTAGCTTGAGCAGATGAGGAACTGGGAAAGAGAGAATAACAAAATCAACAAATAAAGAAAAACATAAGGATGTTATCATTACAAGATATTTGATTTTTTTATATGGTACATAGTGTTACGCCTCCTGTCGTTAGTTAATTTTCCATAAATTCTTTCCGATTAAACTTTAGCAACACAAGTCCTTTCTTAAATAAAACTGGTTTATTCTTTCCGAATACAACTTTACGATACACTTAATTTCAACAGTCGCTCTATAACAAACGCTATAACTCACATCTCACGTGGCGAACAATATTCTGTCCGCATACATTCAATTACTCATTACCTCCCCGTCGCTTCGTGGCCGGTCTTATATATACAAGACTACACTATATCTAGAAGGATCATGAGATTTAAGGAAAAGACGTGAATGTTCGAGAATGACGTGGCATGATACTAGTCATGTGACCTCGATGTAGTAACAATAGGATTGGATAGTCTGTAGGATAAATAGAACGAAAAGAATTAAATTATCCCATCCAGGAGTAGAGATGGAAGATATGCCAATAGAACAAGTGATATAGTAATAGATGCTAATAGTGATGCAGTCTTTGTAACGCAGATTAGAGCTAATGATATAGGGAAAGTAGATCAGAGGAACTAATTATTAAGTACAAACCATTTATAAAGGCATTCAAATGTAAGGGCAACAACAACAACTTAATTCTGCCTTGGATATTGCGAAGGATAAATTGTTGGGATGAAATTATAAATAGGTCACTAGGACGGATTGCTAGGTTTCGGTTAACTTATAAGGATGAGAAGGTTGGCTGTTTGGATCTATTGGATCATTTCAATACAAAAAGGAGCTTTTTGGAATAGATGGTTTACATTTAAATAGAGTATGGGCTGGTGTATTTGCAATGGCTATTAACTCAACTGTAAGAGCAGCTTTAAAACATGACTAGACAGTGTTGAGGACTAAAACAATGAAGAAAAAAATTTTGAGAAAAATATAATGTAGAAACAAAGTACACAAGAAGTTTTAATGGTAGCCTAAACTGCAATTATTATAATGGTAGAAATATAAGAAAGAAAATGGATGACTTTATGGCAATATGGGAACAGAGGATTTTGATGTAACAGGAATAACTTAGTTAAATGCAGACAATTTTGACAAAAGAAACTGTTCTTTGAAATAGAGGGTTATAGGTTGTTTAATAGGAACAGAATAGTAAGATGTGGTGGGGCTGACTATATATATGTAAATGTGATAAATCTTGTTCAAGTTGAGGATATCAAAGCTAACAGAAATGAGGTTGAGTTTCTTTGGGTTTCTATTAATGGTTTATAAAGGTAGAAGGCTTTTAGTTGGGAGTTGTTTCAGACAACCAGATGAAACTGATGAAATTAATAAAAACTCAACTGTTAATGACATTATAATTAAGTCTAAATAATGTTAAAAATCCTGGGCCAGATAGTATTTACCCAAGGGTTTTGAATGAGTATAAGGATTGGACATGTGAGCCACTTGCTACTATTTTTCATCAGTCCTAGTATAGTGGCCAGGTGCCAGAGGATTGGAAGTTAGCTAATGTAATTCCTCTTTTCAAGAGAGATGATAAAAATTGTCCTAGTAATTATAGGCCTATTAGTCTTACAGAAGTTGTGGGAAAAGTTTTGGAAAGTCAGTTAAAAGATGCCTTGTAAAGTCATTTAACAAAGTTTAGAATTTTATTGGATAGTCAACATGGTTTCACTAAGGGAAACTTTTGCGTTACAAATCTTTTGACATTCTTTGAAAAGGTTAATGCTTATGTAGTTGAGGATAAGAGTGTAGATTTGGTGTGTCTGAATTTTCAGAAAGCATTTGACATGGTGCCATGTGAAAGGCTTGTAAAAGAAATTATCTCTATAGAATAGTGGCTGGATGGAAGAAAGCAGAGGGTTGTTACAAATGGAGTTCAGTCAAACTAGATTAATGTCTCAAGTGTGGTACCTCAGGGCTCAGGCTTAGAACCTTTATTCTTTTTGATTTGCATCAATGACATAGATGAAGGAATGGTCATTAAATTATTTGAATTTGCTGATGATATTAAAGTTTTGGGCGTTGATAGCTGTGAGGAGGATTCTACTGTTTTACAAAAAAAATTAGGATCATTTGGTGAGTTGAGCAAATAAATGGCAAATGGGTTTTAATTATAATAAATTTAAGAGAATGCATGTGGGTTATCATAATTTGAATTATAAGTATAATTTGGATGGAAATAACCATAACTGTGTTATGCAAGAAAAGGATCTTGGTGTAATGGTTGATTAGTCTTGTAAGCCATCCAAGCAGTGTGCTGTTGCTAATGGTAAAGCAAATAGGATTTTAGGTTGTATCGACAGAAATATGTAATACAAGTCTAAAGAAGTGAGTGTCATTGTATAGGTTATTGGTTAGGTCACATTTGGAGTATTGTGTTCAGTCTTGGGCGCCTTACCTTAGAAAGGACATTGAATTGTTGGAAAGGGTTCAGAGGAAGGCTACTAGATTGATAACTAGGATGGAAAAGTTATCAGATGAAGATAGGTTAAGATATCTGAAATAGCTTTTCCATGAAGAAAGAATTAGAGGAGATCTCATTGAGATGTTTGAGATTGTTAAGGGAATTGATAGTGTAGTTAAATATTTTTTTTATACTTAATATTGAGAATGGTAGGACTAGGGAACACAAATATAAATTTTGACAGGGTAGGAGTTATCTTCAGCTAAGATAGTTTTATTTTTCTATCAAGGTGATTGGCCTTTGGAATGGGATACTTTCAGACTGGTGGATCCAGTTAATTCAAAGGATTTTAAGCAAAGGCTTGATAAACATTTGAATGATAAGAGCTAACTTTGAGTGTTTTATTTTCATTTTACACTTTAGAATAGTAATTAGAATGGAATACCTGGACCAGCAGGCCCCTAGTTATTGTTAAATAATATATATACTTCTGTGTTTGTGTATGCAAATTAGAACCAAAACAATTCTACTAAAAATGATTCTTTATTGTAGATTAACAATAACAGTATTATAGCCATAAGCCTTTGCTTTAAAATATGCAATGTATTAGATGGTAATAAAAAAAACGTGCATCTCTTCAAATCCATTATTTGTTTATATAAACTTAACATAATGTTCAGGGACAACAAGGGACCTATTGGCCGATCTCGGCTGTCCCTCCTCTAAACTGAACTAAAACTATTAAATAGATAAATTAAAAGAATATTATAATAATATTCTGAAATGGTACCACCTCTACTCACCTATAGCTATTTCGACCTTCCTTTGTCCTCTAGACATTGGTAAATTGTTTAGTAAGAAGTAAGTAACTTGACAGTAATTTAGGTTATTATAGACAACCAGGAGCTCTCAGAAACTATTGCTTCTCTTCAGCCCCACACGTGGAATTAAAATTTTAAAACTGCTGGGGTATTTCTTATGAACTGCATGGCAGGTATGATAGATACTGATTTTTTAAGCTAATGACTGGTAGTTTTTGTACACGTTGGGGATAAGGACTCTATGATTAATTCCTAACTAGGGTGGGTACATTGCTGAACACAATATTCCAAATGTGGCCTAAACCAGCTATCTGTACAATGAAAGTATAACCTCTTTAGACTTGTATTCAGTATTTCTATAGATACAACCTAAAATCATACTTGCCCTACCACTAGCAACAGTACACTGCCTGGATGGCTTTAGAGACTATTACACCAAGATCCCTTTCCTTCATAACACTATTAAGGTTATTCCCATTCAAATTATATTTATAATTCAAATGATGATAAACTGCATATATTATCTTCCATTTATTATAATTAAAACCCATCAACCATTTATTTGTCCAACTCACTAAATGATCTAAATCCTTTTGTGAATCAGC